TTCCCTAAGTTTTATATCCCCATTTTCGGGACATGCCGTTTTCCTGTGTCCATTGCTAGTAATGATAAGAATATTTTATTCCCTTTCAATGTTATTTTTTATAATTTATGCATATACATTTAATCATTTTCTTAATTACACTCAAATATGTTGAAGTAAAAATATAATAAAATCGAGACAATAGGGCCTGTTTAGAAATAAAAAATAAAATAAAGGTCCCACATAGAAATAGTAGAAAATGATATATGAGAAGTGGGGCATGATTTTCTGAAGATTGGAAATCCAAAAAATAAATGCACGAACAAACCAAACCGAAGCTTCTTATCACGCAGAAAATGGCATTTAGCTAACTATGCTCTTCAATGTGCTTCCTGTACCATCATTTTCCACTCTTTTTTACCCTCTTCCACTTGCTGCATTTATTCATCAATTAATAAAACAGTGGTAATTTTTTTTTTAATTTCTTGCAATATTTATCAGTAACTTTTCAATATATATACTCCATCTGTGTTATTTTAGTAATTTTACAAAAAATACAATCTCATATTATATTTATGATATGTCGTTTTGTACAAAGAATAATTTTGAATTTTCTTGTTGGACTCAAGATTTTATTTAATGTAGGGGTAAATTGCGGCCAACCCTCTGAGGTAAGGTCAAATAGCGGAAAAACACCTTCTTGATTTGGTATTATAATAACCTCCCTCAACTATCTATTTTTTTACGAAAAAGCCCATTATTTAGTTGGTAAATTTGATACCGTAAAAATAGAAGTGTAAGACAATACATAATTAAATGGAGTGGTTGTAATCATCCAAACAGAATAGGCGTTTCCGTAACTTGATCTTATCTGAAGAACTCAACTGTAATTTGCCGGCCGTTTTGACATGTTAACGTATGTTTTGATATTTTTTTTAAAGCGAAAGAACAGTTACTTTTGTCTCGAATAAGATTAATCATTCAACTAATATGTATAGTTGATATTGGAAAATAATTTTCCGATCTTGGAATTTAATTCGAATAATTAATAGAATGTTTGATTGATAATGTTAAATGTAAATTGTGACTAAAAAGAATAAGACAAAATGGTGAGTTAGATTGAAAATAATTGTCGTGGTTGACGATTTCATAGGATGCCGCTTCTGTCGCACATATATCAAACAATAATTAAATGTACGTTCGAATTTGAGACACAAATAAATACAATTATTTTTAAATAATATATAAATAAATTTAAAAATAAAAACAATTATTTGACTCACGCGAGGTGTGTGAGGTCAGTTTCCAGATACGTTGTGGGCCCACAGACAAAGCCCAACTGGGTTATGGGCCCATTTGGATTTCCCAATTTAATGCTTAATAATATTTTATTCATTATGCTGTTTCTTTTTTTTTTTTTCAAATAAATTGTGCATAAATGCTGTTTCTTTTTATTTAATCTTTTAATAATTATTTTAAATTTATATATGAGGTGTTATTATGGTTGAGGCATTAAATTTTACGTTGTACTGATCGTACTCAATTAAGATCATCAAAAAATTACTAATATAATACTTCATCAAATTAAATATTTTTTTTTACTAATGTCAGATATATGTATGTATATGGAAAATAAAGTATTTAGAATTAAATTTTGAATTCTGATATTTTTTGGAACATAAATTAGAACACATTTTATACTTTCGAAAAAAAAAATCAGAAAAACTATTTTCAATTTGTTCAGTTCGATTTCCGCCCCTACATAAAACAAATCCTTAAATTATTGTCACTTTCCCAATAATCATATATAAATATATAGCTCAAAGAAAATATTATTATGCTTCTTATTACAAAGTCAAAAGAAAATAATTCTGACCATAGTTATGTATATAAAAAGGTACTGACTTATGAACTGCCAAACAAATCTTTCCTTGTGAGAGTGAAAAAATCAATAAGTAGACATAAATTGAGGGACCAAACAAAAAAGTCATATTATTTGGAATTTTGTTTTTATTTATTTACTTTGATTTTTTTTTTGGGACTAAATTTTGATTTAATTTCTGTTCTTTACAGCTTTACAGCTGTAAGTGGAAGGGAAAAGGTGAAAATTCCATCAAGGGTTTTTTTACTTTATGTTCTTTATTAATGATACAATAACAAGCAAAGTTAAAAAATAATAATTAAATTACAAAAAAAGAATAGAAAATCAGGTCAATAAAAAAAGAAAGTTTTAAGATGAATAATAATAATTAATTATACAATTATTCTACAATTATTGTGTGGGGGACAAAACTGACCTTGTGATCTTTCATTGTTTGGACTTCTCTATTGTCATTCTTTTTCTTTTATTATTTTTGTTGACTTTAATCTTCAAAATGTGATTTTTTTAATAGCATTTTTTGTATTATTTTTTTATTTTAATTTGGTATTTATCTTTTAGTTTATAGACTTTTGACCCCCCAAAATTTATTTTATACACTTATAGTCCAATTTTTTTTTTTATTTTTCTTAAATCACCCCATGTACTAGCCCCAAACAAAAAACCCTAAGTCCTCCCCTATATACCAACTCTTTGTGGTGATTGGTCAACAAAATTTGAATACTTAAAATCATTATTGTTCAAACTTCAAACCACAATCATAATATATTTTCCATGAACGACTATCACAAGCATGCATCTCTCTCTCTCTCTCTCTCTCTCTCTCACACACACACACACACACACCATAAAGAAAAATGAAATTAAAGGTGGGACAGAGGACATATTCCACAAAATCAAAGATTTTGTCACCCAAATTCAAATCTTTTTTTAATTTATAGGAAGAGCCAAATTCAAACCAATACATTTAAATAAAGGAGATATTTTCCCTCAAAAAAAATAAACAAAGGAGAGATTTTTTTACAATATTTACTATCATAAAAATATATATTATATAGGACAAGGTTCGTACTTAACTAGTGTGGATGATAAATTAAATATTTTATTTGGTGTGAAATATTATTTGATGCATGATGTAAATTAGGTCACATTGCCCAAACATTTGGGCATGAAAATAATCAAAAATTGAGACGTGGCTCAAGAATTATAGGTAGATGATGATCATGTAATCAAGCCAGTTGTCACCCACGAATATGTATATATAATATATAGTTAATTAAAATGAAATAGATTTCTTGTAAATAAAATTGATTTTGAGCAAAACACGTGAAAAAAGCTAGAGCCAAATAAGAAAAGGCCAAAAGCGTGATTTGGCACGCTTCACATTCTCTACACAAATTTACTACATTTGACAAAGCCAAAGAGGGTTTCAACCTTTTATTCTAGTGCTCCAATTAAAGGGTAAAAAAGAAAGAAAAAATAAATAAATAAATAAATAAAGGAAATAGTATTGCTAAAGCGAAAGTTTAGGTTATTTTTACCAATGTATTTTTGTTTTTTATAATGAACGAATAATAGCTTACAAACCCGACGTATAATAACTTGTAAATCATGAATACTAATATGACACAAGATATTTATTTCATTAATTAATGTAATAATAACAAAGAAAACGAATAGTCAAATAAATATCCTTTATTCTCAATAACAGTAGCATGCGCATGCAACAAATTTCATACATAATCATCATCCACGCATGCATGCATGCGTTAATACATAAAAAGCTGCAGAAATATATATATATATAGGTTAATCAAAGATTTAACACAAATCTAAGAAAAGTATTTTCATTTGGGAATTAGTATATATATATATATATATATATATATATATATATATAATGTCAGAATTATATTTAGCTTTAATAGCTCTTGGAAAATAAAAAAAATGGTTACTGTCATCTCCGAAATACTGACACAACTAAAACGAAAGGCAGCCATGGAAAGAGAAGACAAACATCATTAGAACAGAAGAAATATATATATACATTATATATATAATTACAGAAAAGGGACCATATATATATATATATATATATATATATAAAATTGATAAATTGAAATTTGGAGCTAGGTCAAAACCCACTGACCGACAGCTCTTTATATCAAATTTCTTCTTTATTTGTTGCATGTTTCGTTTTCACATCACATGCAAGAGAATTTTGCAACAAGAGAGAGAGCTTAAAATGGAAACAGAAGATCTATTATATCTTACAAACTACATATATTATTTAACATTAATATATATATATATATAAATATGGTCCAATAATAATAATTCTTGAAATATATATTGTACGTACGTAGTCTTTGATTCTTGAAAGAGACAAAAGAGATGGATCGATGAAAATAAGGAATTAAAAACATAAGTAGATAGAAAGAGAGAGAAAAAAAGAAAATAAAGAAAAAAAATTGCAGATATACTTCATTGCTTCTGTCCTCTTCTCTTTCTCTCTCTTCTTTCTCTCTCTTAATTCTTTCTGTGTCTGTAAATTGCATGCCAGCTGCTCTTTCTGCAGCAGCCAATACTACCAACTCTCAGCAGTTTCTTCTTTTCTCATTTTCTTTCCCTTTCTCTTTCCTCTTCTTGCGCGCAGTTTGCAGAGTTACGTTGTTGACGAAAGGCGAATTAATATATTAACTTTAATAGACAAATGATGAATATAGAAAATTCTAGAGAGAGAGAGAAGAGAAGAGAGAGAAAGCAAGCTTTGATTTGATTAATGAGGAGTGACAACAGCGTCCACAAAAACTGATCTGCTCAAAGATGGCAACTGATGATTAATGGCAGCACCAGCACCCCTTTTTATTTTCTTGTTCGGGATAATAATATTTGAAGAAGACGATGAAATGCAAGACAACGATGATTCTTGATCATCAACTGATGATAAGATTCCCCATGAATTATTATTATTATTATTATTGGTTTCTTGATGAACTCTGCAACTTTTACGTTTGAGATGATGATTAACGTTGTTGTTGTTGTTGTTCGAAATTACTTCAGATATAACCTCGTAACACTCATCAACTTCCTCCTGTTAAATAAACAAAACCCACAATTTAATTTTAGAAATTAATAAATAAATAAAACACATAATATAATATGAGAGAGAGAGAGAGAGAGAGAGAGAGATCTAGCTAGAGAGAGAAAGTACCTTGCTGATGTTGAGAACACTGAGAAGCTGGTTTTCATAGGCAACAATGGCGTTATTACAGGGCTCAACACGACGGATAACGTGCAGCATTGTCGCAGTAGCCAATACAGACGGCATGTAAAGCATGAATCTTGGATCTGTATTATGTATGTATACATTACATATTAAAATTAAAAATCTCTTCTCTTTTTTTTTCTTTCATAAAAATTCAATCTTTAATACTATTTAGCAATTACTTACCGGAGACGAAAGAGAGAAGAAGATTTTCGGAGTTCCTAAGGAAATCCCAATGAAGATTGCTCTTCAGACCAAGCCTTCTTATTACATGATCAAGAAACGAAAGTGGTGTCACCGGATTCATCCTCCATTTTAGCGACGAAAGCACCAATATCTCCATTCTTTGTATCGTTTTCGCCTCAAACACATACTTCGTACCCTCCACCTGCAAATAATTATAAATAAATAAAAATTAATAAAAAAAAATCTGAATTAAGAAAAAAAAATGGAATCTTTTTTTTTTTTGAATTTCAGAGAGAGAGAAAGACGCAGTACTTGAAGGTCTAAGAGAAGAGGGACATGGGTTTCTTCAACTTTAGCAGCAAGAGAGAGACACGTGGCAGCACAGAGCTGCATCATCCATGGCGGCTGCTTCTTCTCCTCATTAGAGAAGCCCTGCAGACTTGAAAGAAACCTATCCAGATAGTTGACCGCAAGTATGGCGGTCAACGGCGAGAACCCATAACGGGCATTGATCTTGAGAATCCATTCCACAGCTTCTTTTCTTGCAGAGGAGAGAGAAGAAGAAGCAACAAATCCTGCTTCTCTGGGTTTCAGACAAGTTTCTCTCTCCTTGCAGAATAGGGTTTGCAGTTCTTCGTCGTCCCAGAATAAATCCTGCTCCAATAAAAACAGAGGACGACGAAGAACATAAATATTATTATTAATATTATTTGATGTGATTTCGCTCTCTTCTTCTTCCCATTGTTCTTCTTCTTCTTCACAGTAGAGAGCGTCGAGCATTGATTTTTGTGGGGTTTGGTCAATAGCCATTGTTTGTTGTGTTGTTGTTGATAAGAAGAAGGGTTTGTATTTCTTCTTCTTCTTCTTCTTCTTTTCTGTTCATTGTACAAGAAAAGAAGCGGAAAGTACTAAAGCGAAACCCATTCTTTGATTTCTTTTTTTTCTCTCTCTCTCTAGATTAAGCTTTTTGTTGGTTTCTCTCTCTAAATCTGAATGGTGGGAGTGGAATGGAGTGATGAGGGAGGAAACTCGGTTCTCGAAAAAACAGAGAGAGATATAAAGGAGGAGATTTTATTCAGACTAGTTTTGTCACGCTTTGTCTTTTCTCTTTTATGCAATATTTTACAAGGTAAATGTAAATGTGAATTTACTTGTATTATTAATTAATTATTTAATTATTGTTTTTTATTCCTCTTTTACTTTTTTACAAACTTAAAAAAAAAAATTTGATGCTCGATTCGAAATCGTTCATTAGGAATTTGAAAAGTTTCATTTGTAATAAACGAATCGTTTTGAGTTCGAACCCAGGCTCGATCAGGACTAGCATTACTTGTTCAATCTCGACTCAGATATCGCTTATCAAACCAAACTCAAACACAATTTAAAAAAATCGATAAAGATTCAAATAAACTTGAATAACAATGTGCATGTTCGGCTCGATTTGATTCGTTTTACACCCTGACCCACATGTCGCAACCGCATATTACTAATGGGTAAATACAGCTCTCGTCTAAATCACACAAGATATGTAAACCGACTGGGAAAATCGAATCGGAATGGCTAATGTTGCACTATTTTTTACTCCTACAATTAGGTAATTCTTATTAAAATAAAAAAAAAAAAAAAAAAAAAATTAGTGTGTGTGGTGAGTGTGTGTTTAAGGTGTAAAATTGTTGGCGGGAAGAGAAGCAAAGGCACACATACCAAGCAGGCCCCGCGAAAAGGGCTTTTGAGATCCTACACCGGGTGAAATACACCGGGTAGATCTTTACCATTAATATACACACAAACACACACACACCCACATTGGTGTGTGTAGATCAACGGTGAAAAATCACCCGGTGTAACCTTCACCGGATGTAGGATAGATAAAACCCGCGAAAAGTGCCTGTTATGGAAGCAAACATTAAGAGACACTGCACAACCAAAAAGATAGATCTATTACTATTGCCTAACCCAAATACTCCTACTATTTTTATTTATTTATCTCTCCGATATACACAATTATAAATTTATAATTACCAAAATATTAATAAATAAATAAAGAATTAAGAAAATCTTGTCAATTAAAATACGAAAATGTATATTTAATCCATCGATTTTTAAATTATCGATTTATGTTTTTCAGGTTTTTTATTATCGATTTTCTTTTTCGGGTTTTTTATTGTAGATTTTTTTTAATAAATATAATAACTAACCACAATTTTCTTGAGCCTTGACCGATAAAAGTAAAGGAACTTTTTATGGTGTGAATAGTGATAGGTAGAGTCATGTGGCTATGGCTTGTGTCTCTCACTTCTCAATTTTGGGCTTAATGAAAGCCATTAATCATGCCATCTTGTCTCCTCATTTTTGAGCACTAATAAATATAACAAGTGGGAGTAGGCTTTTATAATTTAGAACCAAACATATATATAGCCCAAATAATAGGTTGAAGCTTTAGCCTTGTAGTTTTTTTTTTTGTTTTTGGTAATATATATATATATATATATATATATATATATTCTAAGGAGTAATTGCACATTAATTGCTTTTAACATCTAAAAAATGCTTGTTAGTCACTATAGATGTTACAAAAGTGTATCGGTCCCTAACGCAGAAGTTTATCATGCACTGGATAAATCTATACTCTCGTATAATAGCTTATAAACAATACGAGAGACGTACACCACATTAGGCTAACCATAGGAGTATATGATAAGCCCCACCAAACGATAGTTGACTGAGGAATTCGAGCTGGTCAATTGATACAAGCTCACTTGCTCCAACTGCTAAATCATTCTTTAATCGCACGCACTCTGATTTGTTATGGTGGCTGATAGTTAAAGCTGAATTTCAGTGGGGTTTTTTTCCCCCAATTACATTACAATGGGGTTTATATTGTCAAGGATGCCAACTCAATCCAACTAAACATGAATAAACAAGAGTAGGACCATTGAATTAAACAGAGTAGCTTTAGTTGTTATCCATTTTAATCCCCCATTAAACCACTAATTATTACTCCCTCTGTCCCATATTATATGTTTTTTTAGAGAGTTCTTTTTGTCCCAAATTATTTGTCATTTTAGATTTTCAATGTATCATTAATTGCACTATTTTCAATTTTACCCTTTATCACTCTTAATTACTTAGTGTAAAATAATTAATGTCAGGGATATATTAATATTTTCCTATGATTTTCACTATAATCTATGCACATTTATTGATTTTCTTAATACGTGTGCAACAACCCAAAACGTCACTTAAATTGGGACGGAGGGAGTACAAGATTCTATTTATTAAAAAAGTCAAAGTCAAAGCGAGCCCCATGTTACTTATTTTCTGTCTTTAATGATAATTAGGAGCAACCTCAAAATGAGCCGGCCCCAATTGCTTTTTTGTTTTAATCATAATAATCTCCAATCATTTATCCCTACTTTCCACATCCCAAAATACTAATTGCTTTAGCATTATTGTTTTTTGTACAACTTATATATACAAGTACACAATTATAACAATTAATGTCAATATTGTAATCATTTTATATTTCCCTTGTACGGGAAATTAATATATTTCACAAAAATATATTTATTTCCTTTTCGTTAAATAACTTCAGATGTAAAGAAGAAGAAAACAAAACAAGAAATTGAAATTCATTATAAAATGATTTCATGCTACGAAATTCAATAAATGTGTTTTTATTTCATATTTAACACTAAAACGTCATGCAAATATACATTTATTTCAGAAAGCATCAAATATTGAAAAAGCCCAACATAAAACCCTGGAAAACTTTGGGCCTAATATAAAATTTGGAAGAGAAAAAAAAAAATGGAAGATCACAAATTCTTAACTTCTATTATCAACATTTTTTCCTTGCATAAAAACAAATTCATCAACCAAGAACCACAACAAAACCGTAAAGTTACAACGAACAAAGAAATTACCAAGCAACTAACCAATCACACAACACAATCAGACAGTGATTGTCTGATTTTCTCGACTGCCTCGACAAAAGTGTGTCTTAGTAGTGAGGAGGTGGGTAAGGAGCCGGAGGATATGAACCTGCAACAAAGCAAAAAAAAACATTAATCAGTATTTCGCTTTAAAGATTACGAAGAATGTCGATTCTGTAAATGTAAGTGAGAGAAACACTTTAATTTAAATATTACCTGGAGGATAATTGTAAGTGTTGTGAGGTGGCGGAGCAGGATAAGTCGAATGTGGCAGAGGAGGATATGATGAAGTGGGAGGGTAAGTTGGAGGGTATGCGGATGGCTGAGGAGGGTATGCGGATGGCTGATAAGGGTATGGTGATGGAGGATATGGAGAAGAATTTGGAGGGTATGAATGAACGAGTGGTGACGAGGCGAAGCTCGTTTGATGGTAGGGTGGTAATACTGGAGGTGCGGAGTATAGCGGAGCATGAGGCGCTGGTCCACCTGTATATGGTGGAGCTGATGGAGTTGGTGCTGAAGCCTGTGGTTTGGCTGGTTTCTGAATTGGAAAATAAAAAATAAAAAGTTTATATTCCACAATTATAATATTCCCGAGGATGTAAATAATCGAATGACAAAAGAAAATATATGATAGGAAAAAAGTTGGTCTAGCTTACACTGGCATCAGCGTAGTGCATTATTAATCGAACTTCTCCGGCGTGCCTATAGATATAGAACACATATTATTAGATGTATGATCAGCAAGATTTTACAATGATATTCCCGAGATTAAAACTGACACGTACCGCAAAAACAAAATAAATTGTAGTTTTACATATTTTTCTCGAAAAATGTCGAAGACATTTACGAACGAGAGGATCGATTATTCATTGACCTTCTAGAAGGTGTGATAATTCCTCATTTGAAGCCATGGGATCAAGAATAAGTTATCATTTTTGTAATTAGGCTAATTAATTCTTAATTCATCAATCACCTTAACTAATTGTAGAGCAATAGAACCTTCTTAAACACTACAAAGCAGTTAATATTCTTAAAATACAGAGAACAAACACAACTCGAGAAAAAAACATTATACACATATACCACTTGTTCACAAACCTCGGAAAGTATTTAGTGATGTAGATCAGTTCAAATTTATTATTTATTATACCTTCCGCGTTTGTCCTGAAGAGACCACGAGCTATCGTCGTAACCCTGAGACAGAACTTTCTGCAATTGAATCCTGAACAAAACCGAGATTGTAAATTAAGATTCCGCAATAAAATAATACATAGAAATCGCGGAAAAAAAAAGGAAAGAGGTTAAAATATTACTTTCCGGTGCCAATGAAATCGTCGAAGGTGAGAGTATTGCTGTTCCAGACTACAACGGAAAATTCACGCAACCCTTCGATCAAGGTGAACACGAATTTCTCTTGAAACGTGGGATTTTTCCCTCCATCTGAACAAAATTTTGCCCCAAAAAAAAATTAAAATAAATAAACAAAAACATAATTCTTCTTCTCCAAAATCAAACTAATATATACGAATTAAGAGTTGGTGTGGATTTATAAACAGTAGCTTTACCTGTGTGAGTGCGAGTACGATGCTTGGTGGTCGCATATTCGAGACAAACGTAGGGATCCTGCCTAGAAATCCACTCGGTGTTTTTCAATTTACTACAACCAACAACTGAGATCCAGAATAAAAAACCACAAATCAATCGCACAAACAGAAAATTTCACAGCATAATCACTAAACCAATAAATCACCCAAAAAAAAAAAAGGAAAAAAAAAATGAACAAAGGAACATACCAGTAACTTCGAGAAGTTGACCATGGATGCCAGAAATCGACATTGGAGGAGAATTAGAATATGAGGAAAATGAGGGTTTAACGTGATTCTGTAGCTCCAAACGCAATAGAGGGCAGACTTTATTTATTGAAAATATTTGAAGTCAAAAGAGATTATTTTATTCAGAAGAGTTGAGGAAATCAAATCTGGATGCAGAGTTTATTGAAATTGTGGCTGACGATTCTTTGTGATTTAGGGATTTATTTCTTCTTTACACGCAAAATTGATTAAATAGGGCTTTTCATCTCCGCGTTAATTGTAGTCTCTGAAGTAACCCAGTGATTTCGTATTTCGATTTTCGGGAGCGCGTAAAAGTAATTTGGGGAAATGGTATATATTATATATATATTTCTTCTTCGGCCCCACTGGCCCCACTTCCAAGTCAAATTGCATTTTGGTTGACTTGGTACGATGTTTTACTCTTAAAACATCTTAATTAAATACAGGAAATTAGCTTCAAATCCCCTCATACATTTTTCATTTTTTCCGATCAATATTTTTTGGGCAAATTACGGCCACCCCTGAGCTATGGTAAAAATTACGAAAAAATCCATCTTGTTTGGCTAATTACAGCCACCCCCCTCCTTTTAAATATTTTTATGTAAAATTTATGTAATTAGGTTATTTACCGAACCAAATCGTATATTTAGTTCGGTAAACGGTATGAAATGTTGGCGTACCGAAATTTTGGTTCGGATTTACCGAATTAACATCCCTAACTTTACCTCTTGAGGGGTCTTTTCGTAAGATAAATACATAGTTGAGGGGGTGGCTGTAATTACCCACACAGAAGAGGGGGTTTTCGTAATTTCACCATAGCTCATGGGGTGGCACTAATTTGCCCATATTTCTTTAATCGTTCGTTTTTTTATTAAAACAAAAACACTGTAATGTTCATTTTAGAAAGTAAAAAAAAAAAAGGATGTCTGTGTTCAAGTATGCTCAAGTTAAACCCAAGTTCTATAGCATCTAATGAGAAACAAAAAATGAAACCAGGTCTATTTGAGTTGACTTTTAATTATTTAAAATCAAAAGGAGTTTTCATTTCTTTTTGCTAGTCTTAGTTGACCACTTCACATAATGTTGTCTTCTTTAATTGTTAGATTATATCAATTGCTAATGTAGGAATATTTCAAGTCTATATATATATATATATATATATATATATATATATATATATATATATATATATATATATATATATATATATATATATATATATATATATATATATTGGATGATGGGTGTAACTTGTAAGTTTTACAAGAGAATTTAATAATTTCATATTATTTAAGTAGTTTTACAAGTAATCTTTGATGCATGAAGAGATGGTGCCACCTAAGCACTAAGATCGATAAATTAATAACTTCTTTTAAATAATAACATAGTTATTCGCTCAATAATTTAATATTTTGTTAAATTAATAGAATTTTGATAGTTCATGTTTTCCGACTGTATTAATTTGTATTAATTTATAGGTGTTTTAGATCTATAAATGTTACTACCAAAAGAGAGTGTATGTAACAAGCAAGAACAAGTTTCCCAATATGCTTGAAATAAATTGTGCAACAGTACACATTTCCCTCAACAACAGTCGTACAGATTAAAGTAACACAAATAGTTGAGAGAACTATAGGCAATCGGCAAACTCCAAATAATCCGAAACAGACACCGTAATTTATAAAATCCAATAAATGAATAAACCACGAAAGCCGGACTTTTTATGAAAAATATTCACAAAGCAGCATAATATATACACACACATCCTCAAACCAACAGCCCGTTACTCGCTTTCGTCATCTTCATCATCTCCAAACGAGAAAATCGACGCATCGGCAGCCATTGCCTTGAACTCACTCACCTCCCCCACCGAACCAACCGCCACGTCACTCCCAGATGCGACACTTTCCTTCTTCTTTACCTCAGTTTGTGCAGTAGAAGAAGAAGCTGAAGTATTCCCTAAGGAGACTTGCTCTGCCTTATGCGTCAGATTAGCAATTTGGCCGGAACTTTTTGCAGCTTTGACATCAGTTTCGTTGTCAGATAATTCATCATCGTCTTTGCCTTCTTTGTTCGAGTTCTTTGCAACTGAAGCTTCTTCGACTGGACCGGGATTTTGTCTCGACCCTGTATTTGCACCTGGATTTTGAGTCGACTCACTAGCGGTTGTTGTCTCTGATGGAGACGTTGCTGGAAGAACAGTAGCGGCGTCGTAATCCACAAGCACAACTTCCACTTGGAAGCCTGGTGATGGTAGTTTTCTCTGCACACGATGTCAAATTTATACATATTTGCGATTTAGTCCACATGAGATTTGATAAGTTCGCACAAAAATCCCTCTTACGGTGGGAGAAGCTACTGCTTAGCATAATGCATAATATATACTTTACCTTGTCGAAACCATCGAGATCGCCTGTGTTTAGAACTTTGCGATTTTCAATCATTGTTGTGTTTAACCAGCTGATCCAAATTTTAAAAAAAAAAATTGTGTTATCAAATACGAACCATTTGAAATCAGCATACTAATGTACAAGAAATTATCAGATAGCAGTAACCAATTATACCAATAGAAGTCTCCTTGGCCATCGTGAAAATGGACTTTGAAATCACCAGACAACTCTGTCAGGCCGGGCTCCCCAGGAAGAGCGAATACCATTATTCCTTTCTTCGGTGCACTGAACCAATAATCTTCAGGCTGAAAAAACAGTACAAGGTCAATATGAACATGCCTAAGCCATTAATTTTGACCCAATCTCTGAAAAACTAATGTTTCAAATAAACTGGTGGCTAAACGTGACAAGTGGTGAATTTTTTTCTCCAAATAATCTAAGGCATATGCAATGCAACTATAAACGTGCAATCTCTTTGAAAATGTTGAATCATCGGAAGAAGATTACAGGTCAAAGTATGATTGGCAGCAAGGATCATCATAAATGGTTGCATAAATTGCCCTAGAAGTTTATAAATTCATTAGTTAATTAACAAACACTGGTTGAAAGAAGGATGACACACCGATAAATCCTTGGTTCTTGGATGTTTTTTTGTCGAAAACAGCACACCTACAGATAGAAGCATCAGTTAAGGATAAAAATTTCGTTAGAGGGGGGAGAGAGAGAGGGGAGGGGGAGAGAGAAAGAATGAGAAGTAACCATTATGATCAGAGACTGTAATGGAAGGTCTGATCCAGTATGGGCACCTATGCAGCCGAAATCCCCTGAGCATGCATCTGCATTATGCAATTGAGTATGACTTTAAAAATATAACACAGGGCAATAACATATATACTTTTTCATCCATCATCTCATCCTACAACAATTTCCACAATAATATACGACAAGACAAGACTAATGTTGTCAAACTTATTGATCAACTTCATTGGATCAGAAAACTAAACGATAACATACCTACGACCTGGCTGGTTTTCCCCGTTGAAGTATGCCAAAATGCGTTCAAAATACTTGACATATCTCTATAGATTAAAAAAATATATAGTTATACAAAAGTGAAAACAAACATAGCAGAGTAGTCAACATATATTTAAATTTAAAAGTACTAGACTTACTATCTGACTAGGCAGAACAAGCCCTTTCCCATCGACACACCTTTTCTGATTGTAAAAATCAATTGATTCCTCAGCCGTGGGGAAGAACTAAAAGAGAAGCAATAACGATGCAATTAGTTTGCAAACATACGACAATATTCATTAGAAAATACCATCGTCATCATTTTTGGTTCCAAAGAAGAGTGATGATCATTTTCACCTTCAGAAACAGAAGAAGACTAGAAATCATCAATCCTGTCCTTGCCATCCCAGCTTTACAATGTACGACCACGACATTGTCAATATCTTCCTTCAACCATGAATATGCACTTTGGCAAAAGGATATGATGAGTTGGATAGGAGGGCAATTGTGATCATCAAAAGGAAAACAAGCCACCTGTAGAAAGTAGAATGAAGAAATATATATGAGGAAAAATCAGGGTTAAATGACTAATATAAGCATTCAATTAGGCTATCAACGGATAACGTAAGCATAATGGATAACAAACCTTTCCCTCTAACAAAGATGCATCGTACAATCTTTCAGAACAAAGGTTGTACACTTTGTATTTTCCCTGCATGATTGGAATAAATCAAAATTTAACAAGTAAATATACAGGTTGCCACATGTAATAACAAAATATGAGGCAAGCAAATGAGGCATAATTTTTGAAGGTTTGGTTGGTCACAGCAAGATGCAGTGCCCATGTTTATCATAGTAAAAGTAATATCGATAGACATTGCAATGCAGACATTACCTTGTGATAAGTTTCAAAGAACCTGATGACTTCCTCCATGTGGTTCCGATAAAATCCCTGAACCGCAATCACCATTAAGTTCAAATTAGGGGGGAAAAAAAAGAAAAAAAAAAACTATGGTTCGTATGTCAAATCTCAGATTAACTGAATATTATACCTCAACGTAGCCAAAGAAACCAGAGCTAATATCACCAGCAGGGAAACCCATAGCAATAATATTCTCTGTGATGTATGTCATATCCAAATCAAATCCTCCTTCCTATAGAAGATAAATATTGCCCAAGCCATAAACCAATTTATGAAGTGCTCTAGCCAACGTAACATGGGAAATACATGGCAATTTGCATAAATAAAGTGCAGAAAACTAATCCAAGAAACGTCACATTACATATTCTTGTAATAATAAGGAAATACCTACTGCTTTAATAATGACAAAAAACTCAATTGTAAACAAAACTAAGGTACCTGATATCTTCGCTTATTTTGAGATACAACATGACGAGCTTTGACCTGCACAGCTTTCACTGCATTTTTAGATGTGTCAACTATTCCCTTTGTGATGGTTCCAAGAAAGCCTGGTTGTGTAGTTGGTGAAGCTCCACCTGAACTTTCTTCAGATTGAGGAGATTTGGGAGATGCACGCAATCCAAACCCACTCGTAATACGAGAAAAAGGTGACTTCCCTGAGTTTGCAGACGGTGAAACTTCCTGGGTTCCAACAAATGGCTGGGGAATTTTGAGATTCTTTGCCCAAGTGGATATGCCAGAAGCAGAGAATTTTGAAGGGGCAACCTGTTCAGAATTATCTGGCGCGGATTCCATCGGAGTTGATATTTTTATATCACGAGACTTGGTATCCAGTGGATTTGACGAATCAGGAGTTTCAGAACTCATTTCTGAAGCCCTGTTAGTATTTTACAGAACTATTCAACAATTAGATAAGTTTTGGAACCTTGCAGCAACAATTGAATAAAGAACCTGCCATAAAAATAGAAATCCTTTCCTATATATAAAATATATCACCGTAAACAGTAGAGTTTCATTAGCTTCCTTAGATGTAAAAGGCAAAATTAATAAGGTGTAGATGATCCTCCATATGAAAGTAAGCAAATAAGAAACCGGCAATATTCTTTGAAAAACTAAATTTACTTCTAACTTCTCCGAGAAAACACGATCCACGAAACGAGGTCACTAGTTAAGATTTTATTCATTACAAGACCAATACACATATTAGTTCATGCCGTGGCAGACAAAATTAGAACAAATATGAAATTCAGCTCGATATGAAGGATATCGTTAGACCAGATATCAGATGATAAGATCACATACTGATTATTTCCCTTTCTTCAAAGCTCAACCAATAATCCCACACAACAGTTCACAATATTCTCATAGAAAACGCCTAAAAGATAAATAATTAAAAATTTATCGAAACACGCCGTACAAGTTTTATTTCAGCTAAAAAACTTGTATATACTTTGATCATACTCATAAATTGGAAAAAATTACAGTCACAGAATGCATAGACTCAGCGACCTCAAAAAGAATCTTATGTAGCAAAGCTTATGAACGCATCTAAGACGAATCACTAAAATTAACAGTGTGATGTATAAGAGAAGGAATATTTTCGGCAAATTCCACCAATTCCTCACTTCAATTTCGAATTTCCATGAATTTCTTCAATCAATTCGTTTAACGATCCACAGTATTTATATATTCCGAAAGAGGCGAGGGCAATCACATCTTTCAACTGATATGTAATATAGCACATCAATATACACACTGAAAGCTGAAGAGCAAAGATTTGCCGAAAGGTACCTCAAAATCGGAGAGTCACGGCGCGGCGGCGATGATAGGTTGAGGGCGGCGGTGGTGGATGGGGGTTTCTGAAACGACGTCGGATGTGTCCCAATTTGTTTTTTGTAAATGGACGCAATGGCACGCGCAGTTGAAAGCTTTTGCCTTATGTTTGATTAGATGTAGATTGCAATTGTACACAAAGCTATTTTTGCAATAGCACCAATAAAAATCCCAAAAAATAAAAATTATGACATAATCCCAAAAATTAAAGATAAATACATAAAATAAACACTTCTAATTATTTAGGATTATTATTGTTTGAATTGAGAAATATTCGGTAAAACATAATTATCATTATTTTAGGGAATCAATTGTGTGAAAAAACTTGATATAAACAGCCTTACCGACAACCATAACTATCACATTTTTTAACGAAAAGAGCAAGTAGACAGCTGTATAAGTGTATTGGGTGAATTTACATTCGAATTTGAGTCAATTAACACAAATTATCTACTCTAATTGCTAGACCAACTCTTACGGGACAAGTTAGAACATCTCTTACGGGACAAGTTGCTATAAAAATTGGTAGACATACTTAGTGCTATAACATCTCGGTTCTGAGTCCGAGTGGCGACATGTCAACATTTTTATTGGGATAATTTAGAATATATTGCTCAATAACTATTGAGCAATATGAGCATAATGTAGGTTCAATAAGTTTTACAACCTCACCACAAGCCACAATCATACATATAATCTATTAATAATAAGGGCAAAAAATAGAAAATAAGTAGTTAATTCATCATTAAAATTTCAATGTGATAGGTAAAATATGAAACAAAAAAAATTCCAAGTTAAATTAGAAAATTTCAAATCTTGATTTCTTTCATCTTATGACATCATTAATAAATGTGTGTTTATGGCCTTGAAATCCAACACAATAAAAAATGTAAAAGGGAAAAAACATAAAAGAGAAACCAACCACCAGAAAGTATTGAAGTAATTCAGTCATTGCATAATCACAAGCAAGAAATTCAAATTGCAACAGTAAGAAAAGGCCCCCAAATTTCTAAAACGAAAAAAGTAAAAGCAAATAATTTATTTACAAATACTCAGATAAATAACTCTCAAGCACTGCTAATCTTCCTACCACCATTTTGACTCGACCAGTGTGGCTTCGCATCGATTCGTTTCAACGCTTTTATTCCCATCGGACTGTCCTTACTCTGCACACCAATCCACACACAACAATATCAGTTAAAAACACGAAACAATTCCAAAAAGACAAAAAGAAGAAGTCGAATTATTTATTACCACTAAACAAGTGCCGGCTTTAACATCACAAACAGGGTATTCATGCGGGCAGCAGCTCGAATGGTCGTCACAGCAAGTAGCAGACTCGAGTGGGCAGCACCCCCACCCGAAGCAATATTTGCCGTACTCGTAAACACAGCAGCATGTGGTCCCCTCGGGGCAGGTGTAGTAGTCGTCGCACACGGTGGCTGGTTTCACGGGTGTTGGCGGTGATGGGGCGGGCTTGGGTGGGTTGGTGTCGCCGTTCTTGACGGGGTAAGAGGCTTCCACGGCAATACCGCACTTTCCCGTGGTGGTGTTGGCAAGGTTCCGTTCGAGCCTGATGTACCCGTTTTCTCCCCAGCTTGAACCCCACGAGTTTCTCACGATCCAGTAGTCTTTGCCATTCTCTGTGCCGTACCCCACTGCAGCTACGCCGTGGTCTAGGTCGGTCCCGCATAGACCGGTGAAGACACCCTAGACGTAAAAAGTAAATCAAATTTGTTAATCTAAGAGAGCTTTTTTAGCAGATTTAGGCTCTATTTAGATCAAAGAAAATGCTGAGAGTAGTTCACCTCAATGAGTAAAATAAACTAATTTTCCAAAAAAATTAAAAAAATTCATCACCATTTTCCTTGGGAACCAAAAAATTTCAAATTATTTGTTTTCATTTGCTTTTGAATTTTCGATTTCCTCGTTTCAAAACCCATATACCAAACAAAGCCTTAGTGTTTTGATTAAGTATGATTCATAAGATTAACTGAAAAGCACACATAATCATTAAAATCTTTGAAATTGGTAATTGTATGAGAATATGATTCAATACCGACTGGTAGAGCTGGAAAGCTCTGCCCCCAGCTTCAATAGCAACGCTAACGGGTTGACTTGCCACAGCTTTCATCAACGCTTGTTCGTCGTTTTCTGGAACATCTTCGTAAGAATCAATAGAGACCACACGGGCGTTTTTCTGAAATATACAACCACAATTCACTTAAAAATATAATTAAGGTACAAATGACTTAATAAAATAAAATAAAAGTAAAAGATCCTAATTTGGATTCATACCCTCTGTCGGTCACAAGTGCCGTCACGAGCTTTGTACGGATAATCCTCCTCCGTGTCTATGCCACCATTCTTGATCACGAACTGAAAGGCGTAATCCATAAGACCGCCATTACAGCCCTGGTTGTAGGAACTGTCGCAATCGACCAGTTCTTGCTCGGACAAAACTATCATATCTCCGGTTTTTATCTTGTTTACTCCTTCAATGGCAGCAATTGTTGAGAATGCCCAACAGCTCCCTTTTTTAATGGAAAATTAACAAAAAAAACTATGCATTAGTATATTTTGCTTCAATGTGTATAGAACCAATACATTCGGAACAAAACAAGGTTGTATGTATCACATGGAGAAAAAGAAAATAAAATAATCCCCAAGCATTTAAAAAATTAATAAATAAATAAATCATAAAAAAAAAAAAAAAAAAAAAAAAATTCGCCCCCATCTTTGGAGGATCCAAACTGAACAATCAAACAAAGACTCGTGTCAAATCACGATTGAAACTCCACCATTCGAATCATAAGATAAACTATACTATACATACAGATGATTGTATGTATACGTTAGCTCCAAAATATAATCAAATCACAAATATATAAATAAAAAAGGAATTACCGCATTGGCCCTGATCTTTGACCGGAGCAACGGCGCCTTTCTCCCTCCAGTCAACAAACTCCGGCAATTTCTCCCCCGCCTTGAGCGCGTAACGATCACTCGCCCTCCGGTTCATGAGCCGCGCGTTCCTGTCGAGCCTCCCGCGGACGAACATTGACCGGTACTCCTCGTTGGTCAGATCGGCGAACCGGTTCATCCCCACCTTGTACGGCCGGTCGGCGGAGTTATGCTCTTCGACGAACATCAAATTATCCTTGAAGATCTGGAACCGCTTCTCCTTCTCGCCAATGGCGTTGTATGCCTTCCCGTGCTTCACGAGCCACGATTCGTACATCGCCATGGCGTCGCCCTCGGACCGCTGGTGTTTCTCGTCGTAGGTTATAATCGACATGTCTAGGGCGGAGGAGAGAAGGAATAACAATGAGAGTACGGCGACGAAAAACGAGAGCCTGAGAGGAGAAGCCATTGTTGAAGAATTGATTTACAGAGGAAGGGTTTGATGAAGTGGAGAGAGAGACGATTTGCAGAATGGGATTTTTTTTTTGTGAATTTATTATTTTTTTGTGAGGAGGAGAGAGAGAAATATATTGTGAGAGGGTCCGTGAAAATAGGAATTGTTATGGAATGAGAGTTTTAATGTTAATAGGAGTATAGGACTAAGGAGACTCGCTTTTTCCAGAGGCGGTCCACTTCCTAAAGAATGTTTGGATAACGTGTTGTTATTATAATTGTGCTAAATTACGAAACCCCCCTAAACTTATGCTAAATTATAAAAGACGCTCTCACTCGTCAGTAATTATTAAAACCCCTGACGTTTGTTTATGTCTTATACTGACCCTCTTAAGGTGTTATTTTTTTATTCGAGAAATAATTTCCAAAAGATGCTCATTCTACATCTGCAGACGTGACATTTATTTACGCTGCTTTTAAAAGACAAAAATTACCTTAATGAGATATTTATATTGAATCTTTATTCTTTTTGAGTAACACATTCACATTTTTTTAGTATTACCACTACCATTACTCCTCTAAGAATAATTTTTGTCTTTAAAAACTAGTATAAAGAAAAGTCACTTCTGCAAGGGTAGAAGGACATTTTTTCGAAAAATAGTCAATGGAATAAAAAGGATTCCGTGCATAATCACGGAGTAAAGAGGTCGGTGTAAGACGAAAACAAACGTCGGGGGAATTTTGATAATTACTGATAGATGGGGAAACTTTTTATTATTTAACTTAAGTTCAGGGGTTTTCGTAATTTACCCTAAAATTAATTTACATTGATGGTTATTATGTTATTTTCATATTAAAATTAATATTTTATATTTCGTCGAATAATGAAGAGCGAAATTAAAGTTAACATCTAATTAACAATAGATAATTATGATTATATAACAATAATGGTTATTTGAAAAACAAATTTTCGATAAAAAAATCCGGAACTTTAGTCGCAAAATCCGATTATACGGTTGCTTAAAACCAAAATATCAGAGCAATAATTTACAGGCTTAATTTTCATGTTCCAATTGATTGTTGGATTTTTAAAATAAAAGAACGTTAGAAAAAAATAAAAATAAACACCGAATTCGGATTTAGTTTTACCATGACTACATGGTTATAAATTTAAACAAATTAAATAGATTACAATGTGAGATTATTCGAAATTCGAAAATGGGGAATATATCTAGGTTGCGCCTATATGCAAGATTAATTCTACTTGTGCAAGATCAAATTAAAAATTTCAAGGTATAAATACTATACTTGCTAAAAAAAAATAGAAAATTCCAAATGTGCAATACCAAAAACTCAAAAATACAAAAATCGTAGCACAAAACTACAAGACCAACTCTCATCTTCTCCATCTTGCAAAACCCACAAAACATTTCTCCTTCCTCCTCCATAAATCCACAAAACCTAAATATTCAAAATCATAAAAACTCAACAAATCTTACAAATATAGGTAGCAAGTATGGAGTCAGAAGACATCAAAATAGAAGATTCTACGGTGGAAGAACCCAAGAAGATATGCATTTATGTGTTTTTTACTAGAATATCGTTTTTCCAAAAAAATCCCGCGCAGACGCAGTCGACATGTACATGTCGAATTTTATAAGTAAAAATCGACATTGAGATGTCGATTTTGGAATACAAGATCGACACCTTAGTGTCGAAATTTAACTGTTAGCAAATTAGTCCAAATATACTAAATTTCGACATTAAGATGTCGAATTTATGGACATATATTCGACACCTTAATGTCGAAATTTAGTTGCTTCATATTTTTTTTAACTTCTTATTTCAACATTCATTTATTTTTTTATAGCAAAAGGCGCATGCGAAGACGCAGTTTATTATCCAAATTCATCAAACAGTTAAATAACGTCGCATCAAGAGCGGCGGTCAGTGGAGCTTGGTCGTAGGTAGGGTCTCAGGAGGGGGGGGGATTTATAATTTCACGTTTTCTCCTTTTTGTTTTTTTTTTCATTATTTGTTATTTGGTCTTGCATTAGCGAACAAAAGCCAATTTAATTTATGAGTATATTTGTCATTTCATCTTAATAAAATGGAATCTTTAAGAATCTGCCTTAAATTTGATCTTGCACAAATAAAATTAGTATTGTATATAACCGCAGCCATATATATATTATCGTATATTTAAAATTGTAACTCAAAATCCATACATTAAAAGACTTGGTTTCATTTTCGTGCATGATGGATAAGGTTCACGTGCATGAGACTGTATTTTGATTCTTGTCCACATGTAACGTACTAATTAATTATGATTTCAATTGATCCCTAATTCTACTTGATTTGGGCTAAATTGGCCCA